ACATTTGGTGATCCTGTCTCATTCGGTCCAGTTCTGCACACGGCTCACGAGACAAAGCTCTGTTCATTTATGAGTTCTTTATTTAAATCGATGTTGTTACAAAACAATTCTCTTTGATAGCAATTATACTCTGGCTGTCCATTATCTAAGTAAACATACACAAAATTAAATAAGGGTTAGTTAAAAAAACTCATGTGACGACCTTTAGATAATATCACAACACGACCAGATGAAATGACAGCATTCTTGGAACAGTAGTGAAATTATAACAATGCACCTTCATAGTCACACCTGTCGTAGGAGTGCAGTTTTAAAAAGAATGATTCAATAACAATAGTGAACAACGTAATGACATCACAAAACTGACATTAACTTTGGGTAAATCTGTAATCAGCTAAAATGTTTAAAAGTATGTTATCATATTACCCAGCAGATACCATCAGACACCAAACAGGATAACACTTCTTTTCTTGTGTGACCATGCAGGAGTTGTGTACTTCAATAATACATATATATATTTGTTAAACTGCCATGAGAATATGATTTGACAGCTACATTCAAAGCTTAATACATGTGGTGTTTAAAAAAAGTGTAAAGACGTGTGGAAGAAGCATCATAAACCTTAAAAAATAAGCTGTGAGTTTTATAATGGTTGCAAAAATAGATATTCCAAAAGCACGGGTGTATATTCGCAGAAATCTTTTTAAAACAGCTCAAATGTCAGCGTTCACTTGACGTTGCAGATCCTGACTGACGTTCCGACTCCAAAGCCCGGATAGAGGGGCTCGACAAATTTAGTCTCAAACCTGTGCAGGAGGGTCATGGTGTTGCCTATGCTGTAAAACGCCAACACCCCTGCAGTGTGATCCAGGTACACGCCTATCCGCGGGGAGTGAGGGCCATGGGCGGGCTTGTCCACGCGGTTGTGCCACGCTGAGTAACCGGAGTCAGAACAAAGCAGACTCCAGGATTTGTCGTTGTAGCCCAGCAGACAGAGCGAACCTTTGCCCTTTCGACTGATGCTCTTATAAGCCACTCCGATGGAGAACTCCCCGCTCCACTCGATCTCCCAGTAGTAGCGGCCTCCGGATAGAGCTTCTCGGCACAGCACCTGGGCAAAGCTATCAAACCTCTCCGAGTTGTCTCCGTAGGACTGCAGCTCCCTGGTGCGGATAACTTTCCTGCTGTTCTCAGAGATGCAAAGCTCCTTGTAGGCCGTGTTATGATCTAATTTCAGTTGGCAGAAGTCTGAAGAAGGAAAGACAACGTTGTTTACACGGTTTTGAACTGGATTCAGTGTCGAGTTTTTAAAAGTTGAGCCTAATGTAGCTGTTTTACTGCAGAACAGAGCAGTGATCCT